GTGGGTTATGATTGGTTGCTTTTGGACCAATCATGAGGTGCCGGATATGCAAATTTGAGGGATTCTAGTGGCCAATCAGAGCAAGGTTTCGAAGGTCAGGTTTTTGGAAGGGAACCAATCATGGTAATTGTTTGCTCTCTGAGAAACCTCGGCAGACTCGCTGGTGTGCAGCTTCCCACAGTCTCTGTCTGTCTGGCGAGCACACGTGCCCTATAGCAAAAACCTCTCCAAAAAAAAAGAAAAAAGGGAACCAGCAGTTAGCGTAATGGCTATGTCACTGGACTCTACGTAGTCGACCGTGGTTTGCATCCTGGACCTGGTGACTTAGAACTCACTTGACCATTCTTCTGTTCAAATCTGGTCAAAAGCATGGATTGTGCAGAACTATGTCGCTGAACTCCCATGTAGTCAACCGCGGTTTGAGTCCGGGACCCAGTGGCTTAAACTCATGCTGGGCACATGTGTGTGCGTGCGTGCCCAAGATCCCAAGAGGAGAATGGAGGAGAAGGGATTGTGGCATGGCCATCCTCCCTGGGGGGATGATTTCTCGCTCTCTGTCTCTGTCTCTCTCTTGTCTTTCTGGCGAGCACATGCGCCCTATAGCAAAAACCCTCCAAAAAAAGAAAAGGAAAAAAAAAGTATAGGCTGTGCCACACACCCAGTGATCCATCCAAAAACAAGGACTGCAGCCTAAATTCCAAATACTAGAGACTGAAATCTTCAGCCTTGCTAAGGCAACACCTCAATCTTTGAAAATTTATTGTGTTTTACACAGGGCATTCTCTGTATTAGTTTGTTGTGGTTTTAAAACAATTAGCAAAACAAACAAAACAAAAAAGAAGTACAGCTTTTAAACAAATATGTAAAAATGATTGATTTAGCTAGTAATTAATAAACTATGTATTAAAATAACAATGAAAATATATTTTATACCTCTTTTTTTTGGAGAGGTTTTTTTTTTTTCGCTATAGGGCGCGTGCGCTCGCCAGACAGACAGAGAGAGACAGAGAGACAGAAAGCGAGAAATCACCCCCCCACGGGGGATGGCCACGCTGCAATCCCTTCTCCTCCATTCTCCTCTCGGGATCTTGGGCACGCACGCTCCTGGTGTGAGTTTTAAGCCACTGGGTCCGGGACACGAACCGCTGTCGACTATGTGGGAGTCCAGCAACATAGCCATTACGCTAACTGCTGGTCCTTTATACCTCTTATTATTATAATTATCATTATATTTTTGGAGGAGAGAGGGAGTAAAGCAGCTAAGTGGTTAAAGCACTATAGTATTAGGCATTACTTATAATATCAAAACACCTCAAATACGCATTCACTCCACTTAGTTGCTGTGTGACTGTAGACATGGCTTTTAAATTTTCTGAGTCTTAGCCTTTTCATCTGCAGAAGAGGATAACTTATAGTAGTCATTTTGGGGAATTCTGTGAAGATGATGAACTAATATATGTAAGGCACTTAGACCAGTGCTTGGCTGTGGTAAATACTCAGTAAATGTAAGATACTAGCATTAACACTGAAGGTTAGAGAGGATATTATGTCATTTATGCACATTGGTGGGAGGAACTGCCAATTGTAGAAAGCAATTTGACAAAAGTAATGTACTCGTTTAGGGTAATTCATGCTTACCCTAAAAAGCTTGCTCTGGGAATTCATCCAAAGGATAGAATGCCACAGAATGAAAAAACCCATATTCATGAAAATGTTATTATAACATTCCTTATAATATCAAGCACCTCACATATTAATAGAAATTTAATGGCTAAATTGGTAGTTTACTTAATAGAATCTCATGCAGCAAACTAAAAACACAACTATGAATCCAAATGGTAACATAGAAAAGAGATGATAATGTTTAAAAGGATAAGCTTGTATATTATAATGATATAACATACATTTTTCTGTAGACAAATATGACAAAGAAATACGTATTTGCTTATTTGTATTACTAAGATGGTAGAATGATTTTTTTCATTTTCTGGATTTTTCAGTCTACGTGTGGGTGTGTAAAATACTAGCTACTGTGTATTGAGTAATTGCCACATGTTGGCTCTCTGCAGTGTGCTTCAGACCCATGCCCGCATTTGGATTGCAGCTACCTCTGGGTAGTTATTACTGTCCGTGTTAAACAAGCTGGGAGAGGGTACCCAAAGTTGTTCATGGTAGAACATAAACTTGAGTCTAAGTCTGTCTGACTCCAAATGTCACATTAATCATGTGCCACATGGGCTTCACTAAATATTTTCCAAAAGAATAGGAAGACAAACTTAAACACAGAAACAGGTAGAGGCTTTTCTATGGTTATGTTTAATTTGGTTCTTAAACTGGTGATATTATTAGAGATGAAATAGAAGTGAAACAGTGTAAAAGTAAGGTGCGAAAGAAAACTATTGTCATACTTAGAATGATTCAGAATTATTATATTAAAATTATTTCCTTAATATCTAGAGTTTGGTTCTTCAGATAGGTTCATCTAAAGACTGTTGTTTAGTACATGTTAATTGGGAAAGCTAAGGCAGTGTTTTAAGCCTGAAACTGGTTCTTATGGGAAACTACGTGAATATATTTAGTAAGCTTTTGTTGTGAGAGAGACATAGTACAGATTGTACCACGAGTATTTCAGAGTGGTGCGAAGAGCTCCGAGGGACAACTGTGCAGATACTCTAGGGCCAGTGCCCATAGACAGTCTTTCCAGCTCTCCCTTTTGTTAAGTCTGGAGCAAAATGATTATAGTTCATAAATAGAATCTGTCTTAGGGATCCTATTCCAATTTCTTGCTATAATCTGGCTCCCACATGGAATTCCCACTGTAATTTCAATATTTCACAGTAGTTAGGGGCCTGGGACCCAGAAACTCCCAGGAGATATTACAGCATAGATTTCTCAGAAGGGAAGGGAATTGTTATTTAGTAAACAATAGAAGTCATCATTCACATCCTATCAGTGAAAAATAGAGAATTTACCTGCAAATAACCTGACTCCTTTTCTCAATGACATCATAAAAATGGAGTATAATGAGATTAATGGGAAGACATTTGATGTTTTCTTTCTTTTTTTTAAGACTTATTTATTTAACTTTATTTATTTATCTATTTTTTATTTGTAAATTTTTAATTAATTCATTAATTTTAAACAAATTATTTACATGTTTAAATGTTTTTACCTCATAATCAACATTTTTTTAAATTTCACTTTCTTCCATATATTCTATCCCATTATTATTTATCTTACAAAATGGATATTTCAACAGGTGA